GGTTTACTTCACGTGAGCGCAGGCTCGCTCCTGTGTACTGCAGGGCCACGGGTTGCGTCCCCCTACAGCTGTCACTTCTCTCTTTCCCGCCACCTGCAGTGCTGCTTCTGCTGCTGCTCCGGCGTCCTTCGCCCCGCTCCTGCACGCCTCTCCCACGACTTGTCAAACTCTATAACCACGAATAATAATATTAGCAGCAGGAGCACTAGTAGTAGTAGTAGTGGTGGTAATAGTAGTGACAATTAAGGTGCTTGCTGTGGGCGGTACCCCTCACGAAATAATTATTGTTTGTCTTTTCAGGTGAGAGGGGAAAGGGGGGTACCGCATTCCCCTCTTCTCAGACATCTTGGTGCGTTGCTGCGTCAGCTTTGACAGTGATGGGCCATTGGGTGTTTGACCGTGTTGCCGACGGCCTTTTCCTCCAGGGCCTGCGCCCACATCTCTCAAAGCTGCACCGGCAGGACGTGCTGCTTGACGTCAACGGGTCGCTGCTGACGGGCGGTAACGCTGCGGATGCCACAACATGGCGCTCGCACCACGCATTCAGTGGGCGCTGCGGCCTCCGTCTTGAGCAAGCAGCTGTACCGCCCACCGGCCCTCCTGCGGCCATTGTCTCCACCTCGGCGTCTGATTACCGTGCATGGGTTGCCGACTTCCATCTGCAGTCGACCAGCGAGGAGCCGCACCTGCTTGTTTCTGTCGCGCCGCACTACGCCCCGTTGCAGGGAAACACGGAGCAGGGCCGCAGAGCGTGGCGCCCCCCAACAGCCGAGGAGCAGGACACGTACGACAAGCGGATGCTGGAAACTCCACTGATATGGGAAGAGCCCATGACAATATCGATCGACTGCACCGCCAGTGGGATGTTCCTCTGGAGCGAGGAGTTGGGCTACTATGGAGAGAAAGTGGCAGAGAGATGCTTTGTGCGCCGCAGCAATGAGAATGGCGGTGATGATAAGGCGACTGCTTCGGTGGGGCGGGAAGGACACTTCGAGGCCTTTCTGCGGCTCAGCTGGCGCATGGCGCAAACCGGGGACACCGATGTCGCCAGCACCCGAAACAGTGGCAACAGTAACGCGGAAATGGCCGTTTTTGTGCGCGCGGACACCACGGAGGAGGGAGGCAACGAGGCGCCATGTGATGTGCCGGCGGCAGATACGGCAAAGACTGGCGGGAGCGAGGCAGCAGCAGCAAGAAGGAGTGGTGGAAATGGCCTCGGCGACGGGGCATACGTTTGGCGGCTCCTCTGGGAACGTGCAGTGACGTGGCACAATGTACCAGACGAAGTTCACTTCACACCTTATGTGACACTAATGGATGGCGGCGATGAGGTGACCCTCTTGTAGGGGACTCATAAGGCGTCAGTGTTTTTGTTGTTTTTTGGTTGTTTACCTTGATTCGTTGTTGGCATGGCGTATCTTATTGTTGCTTTTATCGATCCTTCATTCTGCCCGTCCCATTCCATAGCGCCTGCCCGCCTTGAATTCTGGCAATGAGTGGAGAAAAATCTGCAGACGTCAGGTTCATTATTGGCGTTCAGCCACACTGGGGTCGGTGTGATGTTGCAAACAGAAAAAAAAACAAAGGATGTGGGCAATAAGCCTCTGGCTTCATAAACAGAGACACACCCAATACACATTCTCTGTATCTCCGGGGCAATGTTGTCTCTGACTTTGTTTCTCTGTTATTTACTCAACACCCCTCCTTTCTCCTCCTTCTTCTGCCCTCCCCCATACACTTTGTGCTCCATAGAAGGAGGAAGAAGAGAAGTAGCAAGTAACGACGAATCGATTTGGCGAAACTGCATGTTATGGGGCGGGGCAGTGCCTAGGCTGCGCACGCTGTCATTGCAATGTGCAGTTTTGTCGGTGCTCTATTTTCACTGCCTCTTTGCAATGGCGCTGCTTGGCCAGAATATTATTGCAACAGTCCTCCTTGTAGTACATCTCGCCTGTGTTGTGCGGTACGTGAGCGAGCAGCGACAGCAACAACAACAACAAGAGCAGCATCTTGAGCACGCTGATGAGCGATATGGCGGTACCACCGAGCCGAGTACCAGGGAAGAGGGTGAGCTGTTGCTTCTTTCTCTCCCGCCACAGCCGCTTCTGTACCTTACTGTAGCATTCTCTGCCGTTCAACTGCTTCTGGCCGCCGCTCTGGGTCCACTGCTTGGTGAGCTTGGCCTGCTACAGGGCAAGATGAAGATACTGTTCAACAGCATCGGCGCGTGGGGAGCGGATGACGTGTTTCCCCTCGTTGTCAATGTGGCGTCGGCTTCTCTTCTCGCTACCATCAGTGTTGCACTCAGCGTAGTTATCCGCCGACGATGCTGTCGACCATCGCGTGGCACCCCCCGCTCTTTTCACCGCTGGTCACTAATGCGTCTTGCTGTTCTCACACTGGTCACCGCTCTCATCTACCCCTCTTACGACTATGCTCCGCTGCTCGCCATTCACTTTTTGTGCATGGCATCATTCCTCATGCCGTGGCGCTTTTGTGGGAAGGTGCGTTTCCTCGAGGTGATGTCTAAGGGGTGCACAGTGTTTGGCCTGCTACTGCTTGGGGGCAGCTTGACGGTGCAGTCACCGCTGCTGCAGTGGCTGTTCGTCTCGGAAGTGGAGCTCAGCGATATGTGGGGTGTCTTGTGGTACGAATCTAGATGGGTCAATATGTTCGCGAGTGCTGTGGTGTTTCGCAAGGGAACTCAGTTCCTGTTACTGGTGTACACTATCGCAGCATCGCGCCGTGTGCACGGTAGGTGGCACTGCATCACAAGGAATGAGATGGTGGTGCTAGCAGAGTGCGCCGACGAGGCTCCATTTTTGCTGTGGCACCTTTTGCCGTTGCGTTGTGCAGCAACAGCAAAGAAGGTACAGTTGGCAGTGGGCCACTACTTGCCGATGGCTGTCGTTCCCGTGTTGGTCATTGTGAGCGTTGCGGTGATGGATGTTGTGTCGATCCTAATGCTGGTCACGTCCCTTCTTGGCTTTGTACTGGCGCCAGCCGCCTTTGTTGCGGTGCTTCCGCACTGCTACATACTGATTGCCCTGGGTATCTTTATCGAGTTCATTGCCCTCGTGGAGAGCAGATTGCGGCTGATATTTTTCATGTCGCAGGCCACAACGCGCAGTGCCCTTCTCGGCACTCTCCTCATGCAGTGCGGTGTGGCTGCGCTGCTCGTCCTTGCCGTTTCGCTGTTCCGCGGGAATCCTATTCAGAGTTACTACCGCACGCTACCGGAGAAGAAGGCACACATACGAAAGGCATTTAACCACCTCCACTACCGCCTGCGCGAGTTGCAGGAGATATTCACGCAGGTGTGCGACAGCAGCAGTGGTTTAGTGAGCCGCAGCCGTTTCATGCTGCTCGTCGAGCAGGTTTCACACACGCTTTGCTTCCGTGAAGATGATATGGATGCGTTGTGGCGCTTCCTGACGGAGGGGGAACAGGCACTGCTGCTGAGCACAGACGCCGTGGGAGATGACGCTGCCGCGAGGGCACCACCAGCCGCACGCACACCGCGGAGTTTGGCCGGACGCGGATCTCCCCGCCCAGGGGTCTCAGCGACGCCTGTGACGACTTCTGATCGCGGGTGTAAAAGCAAAAATGAGGACGAAGAAGAAGAAGAGGAGGTGAATGTGAAAGGGTGGGATGAAGTTAAGCAGCACCTTCTTGCCATGCAACTGGTAGACACTGCAGAAGAGCCGCACTTACTGCGCAACAGGGGGGAGATGCCGTCGGCGGCCTCCACGCTCACCTCACGGGAGCACGTCGTCGCAGCAGATGCGCAGCTCAACAGTGAGGAGCACGCCACCAGCAGAACGACACAATCGAAGGGACAGCGCGCGCGGGAATCGTCGGTTTCTCTTCACGCCTTCAGCTCCGGTGGTGAAAATGTTGCTTACTTCGACTTCCTCGTGTTGGTGAGCGAGATTGAATGGTTCTGCATGCGACGGCGCAGGACGGTGTATGTGTTTGCCGCGATGATGAAGCAGATTGTTTACCTCAACATATCAACGCTCTTCCTCGTTGCCATGTTCGCTGTATCCATGACGGTGAAGCGCCTGGACTTCCTCAATGGCATGTACTTTATGTTCTTTCTCATACTGGCATGCCTGACGCATGTGCCGCGGCGCTACTGGTCTGTTATTGTGGCGTACACGATGCTGCATATCACAGTGCTCTTCACTGTGCTGGCCTACACCAGAAGCTATTACCCCGGTGGGTCTCCTGCGCATTGGGTTGAGATCATAGGAATCTACAGCAACACGAACCGCTTCGTGATACTGGTCTACTTTGTGTTGCTCGTTCTGGCTGTGTTTCAAATGCGGTTCTCCCGCCGTGAAGAGTGCGAGACTATTACGATTCAAGAGATCTTGCAGCGTGTGGAGTGGCGCCGCTATGTGTCATGTGCGTTTTTCCCACAGCTTTGTCGTCATTTTTTAACGCTAACAACTACGGTGGTGTTGGTGATTATGACGCTTTTCATCCCGCGCAATGTCTTTATTGCCGGATTTGCCTTCCTATTCCTGCCGTACCTCACACTGGGGGTTTACTCGCAGCGTGCGGAAAGCATCGCGTTGGTCGTGCTGACGGCGTACACAGTGTCGGTGCTGCTTCTCAGCGCGCTGTACCACGTACCGGACGTCTCGGACCGCATTCTGGTGGATCTATCGAACGTCACGGCATGTCGGAACATCACTGTGGCGGTGTGTGCGTCGGAGATCGGTGTGCCCATGAACGACCGCTTTGGCCCGGTGTCACTGGACCTTCTGTTGTGGTTCTTGGCGGCGGCGCTGGGCGTCGCGCTCTGCCGGCAGCAATTCGGTGGGAGACGTGAGGCGCGGGGGTGCGGGGACGTCGCCGATGATATCCATAGCAGAGGTGGTCACCACCGCCACCACAACAACAACGACGTTTATTACTACCATGACAATGACGACAATGGGCGATTGGCCGGGAGGGAGATGGACAGCATCTGTGAACCCCTGGTTGTTAACAACGACGGCGAAACTTGTCGTGTGGTGGAGGGTCCTGCAACTCCTTTTCTGCCCACACTGCGTGGGAAGGTGTTGTTCTCCCGCTGTTACGCGGACATGCGTGGCACATTCACGGGACGGTGTGTCCCGATGGCGCTTGAAGTGACCCGCTACTTTTATATTGTTGTTGCCTTTATTTTCGAGCTCGGTGTGAGCCACGGCAGTCTGTTCATGTGGATCTCGGTGGGATACGCTAGCCTGAGCTCTTTCAGTGTGCTGGGCGCAGCCTTCATGGCGTTATTTCTGTGTAACTCCCGCGGGATGCCGGTGATGGTCGTGGCTGTCGTCAACATGGCGCTGAACTACGTGTATCCCTTCTTTTTCATCCCCGAGGTCCCGCTCCCTGTCAGCGCCAGACGTTTCTTGGGGCTGGAGAAGAGCCACACCATGGAGGAGCTGAGCATCCTGCCGCCTCTTCTTGCCTGTGTCATGGCGGCATTTCACGAACACACACGAAGGCCACATGCGGTGAGGGTGCAAAAACGCGAGGAGCGAGAGGCGAGGATGCGCGAGGACCCGCGTCATCGCACAGAGCAACAGCAGCGGCAACTGCAAGCGGGTCATAGTCTGGCGCAAGATGCTGCTACAAGCGAGGAACTGCAGACACCTTACGTGGAGTTCACGCCTTCCGAGGGGAAGGACAACCAGACGAATGGAACGAACGAGGTTCACATCAGCTTTAGCACAGGTCAACAACATGTGCTTTTCTTGTGGAACTACATGCGAACCAGGTTCCTCGTCGATGCAGCTTTTGAACTCACTGCATTCATTGTGGTACTCGGCCTTGCCCTTACGCTTGATCGCGTCACGGGTTTTATCTTCTGTTTTCAGTTTCTGTTGATGTGGCTGATTGGTCGGGTGAGGAGTACGACGGAGCTGCAGTTTGCGATTGCGCAAGAGCTCTTGATGGCTCTCCCCCTCGGTGTATTGTATCTTATCCGCCTCGGTATGCCGGAAGGTGTGCTTCCTCTGTCCATCCTGCACTCTGAACAGTGCGGGCCGTGGGAACACTACTTTGGTTGTGACTTGCCTGTCCACCACTTCATCCTCATGTTCGCGCTTGTGTTAATGCAGCGGCATATGCGGCAGGCGATAGGGGAAGTGCGGGCGACTATCCCGTGCGTGGACGGCTCCCTCGAGATGGGCGAGCTGCTGCGCAAGAAGGCGCGGGATGTCGAGGACTGCCGGAAGTTCCTCCGCTCGGATATTGAGAATGTGCTGCCGGTCCCGTCGCGCGACATCATACGCAACCCTCAGACCGTTTTCGATCTCCTCATCGCTATTGCATGCGCGTTTCTGCCAGCGGC